ATAACCCGCTTCTGGAGTGCTCCGGAGTGGGTTATATGTTTTATTATTAACTGGAGCACTCCATTAACAACCTTAGGGATCACCAACATTCCGGGTCGGAATGCATCAGAATCCTGGCCGGATGTGCCACGTACGTATATCATTGAAAAACTATCATTTTATATGCTGAGAAAATTAAATATTGTATGTGAAAGAAAAAAATTCATATATGCTATGAGTTAAAAAGAGGAAAATTACATAAAATAATAAAATCTAGCAGATACACAATTAGAAATTTGAATATTTTCTTTTAAATAATCTGCAATTCATTCATGCCTAATTTTGTTGTGACAAAGTTAGTTTGCATTTACTTTTAATAAATTTAAATGCCAAAAATAAATATACATATGTACGTACGTACATGCCTCAATAATTCTAAATACATTTTCGTACTTTATCTTACTACTTTACTAATATAATAGTCACAGGACACGCACTTATACAGAGGTTTCTATTGTATTGCTGTTACTTAAAAATCAAATGAGTTAATTTATTTAAAAAGATACTTAAAAATTTAAATATATATACTGTATATTCTTTAACATTTTCTAATCTTCTGTTAAAAGTCTTGTTTCCTAATCTCTGGTAGTTTAAAAAAACTTCCTATTAAAGTTGATGTATTTTCTCCTGTAAAAATTAAATAACAGAACCACTAAAGCAATAATACGTATTAAATTGTAAAGAATTTGCTTAATGACTTATATGCATGGTCTAAAAATTTTTCTAATCAAAAATGTTTAATACGCTAGACAAATTTTATTAAGAGTAAAGGCTTTGATAAAAAATCACATCATTGGTGTCTAACACCACAGTTGCTATATCTTAAAAAGTTCAGAACCTATTATACGTACGTATGTACGGCTTGTTCCGGCTTATATATTTATTATTATAAAAAATGAATAGAGCCTCTGTCTTAGCCTATAAGTGCACTCTAACCTTGTAAAATCTACGTAATATAATATGTGGTGTTAAACCACTTTAGTATTATTCAGGAATAAATCGGTCTATCGGTCTATCGCGATCGCTAATAACGATAACGGTAATTTTAGCTAATTGACTATCTACTATGTATATGTATATGATTTTCTTCACCTGACGCTGAGGTCTGAAGTTTCTTAATTTGTAATTCTTTTAGTGTCAGCTAACAATTTTTTTTGATTGTTTCAATAACAGCAGATATTTTTGGTTGTGTTGCGCAGAATTTCTAATTCAATTTTTAAATTTTAAATTCTAAAAACGCCACTGTAAAATTTTTTTTTTTTTAACACTGGAAAAGATCTTAACCAATTTATAACTTGAAATCGTAAAAACTGTAGCAAGTTTTTAATGGCACTTCCAGAACCTTTAATAAGCGGAAACGAAATTTGGAATCAAACGCGTCAAGTTTCTACGGACAAAGTATCTCGTATTAGGAAAAAAAATGACCCTTTACCTCAACCTCCTCAAGATGAAGGTTATTACTTACGAATAGCTATTACAACTCTAGACAAAAACCGTCGTGATCCAGTTTTCAAATTCAAAGCCATTGTATATAAACCCGTTTTTTTTTCTTTTAGGATTTTTATTTCAAATTGCTTCTACGATTTACCGTTACTAAAAAATATTGTCTTACTTTTCCCTAAAGACAAATTTACCAAGATTCAGACATACTTCATATATTCACCTCGAGCGTACCTATAATGAATTCGACCGATTGTATAATTCTTTAGCTTATTCTAATCCGGAATGCATTGTCCCCGCTCTGCCCTTTCCTACGACTAGTTATCAGGGAACTGAAGAGGACGAACGTAGGGTAAAGAAGGCAATGCAACAATGGGTAGATCGCGTGTCAATGAATCCTATATTGTGCCACGATGAAGAACTCAGGTCTTTTATCGAGACCGATTTCGCTGTGAGTTAATTGCATTTTTGTCCGAATAGATAATTCACATTTCTATTATATAATTAATTGTTTTATATTATATATCTAGTTTATTCCCGCCACAAAACCGAGAAAGAGGTCCAGTGGTTTTAGATTCAGATTCTCTGTACAAGTGAAAGATGATGATATGAATTTGGCTCAAGCTAAGTCAATCTCAAATATGCTTGAAGGTCATTTTGTCGATGTCGCTAAAAGTATACAAAAGCTGTCTAAGGCACGAACAAGTAAGAAAAAGAATTTGACATTAGACATTATCATTATACAATTATTTGTACCATGCAGTCTCATATATTAAGATTAAAAAATATATTGAATGTTTTAGGTTTGGCCATATGTAGCACAGAATGTGGTGTCAAGTCCCAAGCTTTGGGTACTGTTGAAAAACATCCGCCATTGTCAAAGTAATTTATTGTAATTTATCATAAGGGTTGTACTATAGTCAATATTTAATTTTTTTTTTCTTCTCAACAGTGGTCTTCGTAGACTTGGTAAGACACTTCAAATTATTGGTGAATTACAAAAATCACAAGCTATTAGTGAAGCTGCAGCTATCGGTGATTTCTTTAGTTATTATGCAGTTAATGCACATATAGTTAAGGTATATATTATTATTATTATTATTAATTTATACTGTAGTTATATACCATTTTAAAGAACTTTTTTGCATATATTAGGAAACTTTGGCAAATCGTCTTAGAATAATTACAGAACATGAGAATGCAGTGAAAGCCACCATAAGTAAAAAACGGTACATGGAACGTTTAAAATCTTCTACATCAATAAAGTCTGATAAAGTTGATGAAGCGTTGAAAGATTTTAAATATGTACTATTATTATTGTTTTTATTTGATATTTTATTTTATTTTATTTTTTGTATTGCTTTACATTCTCTAAATAAACTAACTATAATGTTGAAAATGATTTTTATTAAAAAAAAAGACCGAAAATTACGAACAAAACCTTGATGCACGTGTCAAACGTGTAACAAAAAACCTTCATTCAGAATTGCAAAATTATGAAGATAATCGTACTCAAGATTTCATCAAAGCCATCAAAGAATATGTGCACAAACAAATCTTGTTTGAAAGACAGCAGCTGAAAGAATTGGAAAATTTGAGGCCTGATATTAATGCTATTACGAGACGAAATATGAGTAATTATATGCTTGGAGAGGAAGAAATTACACCACGTGCTGTTGCAGAAAAACTTAACATACGCTAAACGAAAATAGACAAGATAATGATAGTGCATTCAGAATGCTCGTTAACGTTAAAGCGCAAGCTTTTATACTTTTCGAACTTTTTTTTTCCTTTCACATAATCTTTGTATAACATTTATATATATATGTATGAATGGAAATTTTTTCTTTTTGTAACATAGCGGTTTCAAGAATCAGACAATATTGTAAAAAAAAGAACAATTAGGAATATTATGCATATTAAAACTTTGGATATTTATCTATTTTACCCTTTTTTTTTTTTTTTTTTTTTTAACAATTAATTTTTATAAAGAAAAAGCGCTGCAATAACTTTTAAAAATTACAAAAAAGTTTTTTTCTTTTATTCCATGAAGACTACACCGTATACTTCTACTTTTTGTTATCGATCGTATTTTGATGGACATTAGTAATATGTATACGTATTCTATACGTATTCGCTCTCTTATCATTGTCATCCACATTATATTTTTATTTTATCGCGTGCACCCACATTATATTAGTCGTCGTCTTTATTTTATCGCGTGCACGCACATTATATTTATCGTCGTCTTTATTTTATCGCGTGCACCCACATTATATTTGTCGTTGTCTTTATTTTATCGCGATGGGCCACTGCGCAGCCTGCGCATTATTTCACTGCGCAGAATGTTTAAGAGACTGCGCGGTGTAATTTCTAAAAGCATGCTGCGCAGTGGATTCAAAAATGCTCAATCTGCCCATCCCTAGTGTATACACGTTATTCCCGTTAGATTTCCACACGAAAAAGTGAAAATTATTAATATGGGAGCTTTTCAATAGAAAGAGGTGATTTTTTCTAAGTAAAAATTTAATTAAAATATCTCAACAACTATTAAACTAAATAAATTTTTTTTTATTTTATTTCTATAAAATTATAAAATTAAAAAAAAAAAAATTTTAATTTAGTAGTTATTGAGATATTTTAATTTAAAATTTAAAAAAAAGTTACTAAAAACTTTTACCCCCTTTTCTATTGATAAAATTTTATGCACAAATAGAAAACAAATATTGTGAAAATAAATCTAAATAATAATAAAAAAAAATAGATACAAATAAAATATAATAAAACATTTATACATAAAGTTACTTACAAGGATACTTGGTTTCGACTAAAAAATTAGCCTACTTGTCCTAGTCACCGCGTAGAGGTGTATCCTGCGACTAGGTTTATAACAACCGATGTTGTATACTAAGCATGGTAGATAAACCATCCAAGCAAAATATTCAATTCAATTTAGATTTAGACACTGTGCTTATTAAGTTAAAAGGCTGCATTCAAAAGCAATCGCCATTAGTATACTTGACCGTTCAGACTTAAGAAACGTAACAATACTTTTTTTCAGTATTAAGTGGACCTTAAGTAGGAAACCCAAAAAAAGCTTACGAGAAAAAACATTTATTCTAAAGAAAACTAATATAAAATATTATCTCTTAAATTGTTTTTTTACATAAATTTTTTTGAAAAACATAATTGCCTATGAGACAAAAGTTATAGATGAAGGGACGCGTCAACTTTGATTTATTTAGTGTAAACAAGATCTTTATATACTGTATTTTTTGTTAAAATCATGTGTTTGTTAAATTCGTGATCAATTGTCCGAGCGACTAATTTAAATGCTTTGAAGTTTTTTTTTTTTTTTAAAAAAAAATTATTACACTACACAAGCAAAATTCATCACGTTGTTTCTATATTCAAAAAAAAAAGAATAGAAAGTTAAATTTAAACTTAATCTTTTATAATCTTAAATTCAAGAGAAGTTAACTTAGTGATGGCTTTTTGAAATAAGAAAAAAAAAGTTTTTTGCAATCTTTATATAAATTAGTGTTTTTTTTTAGAGTAAAATCTTAGGTCAGGTATTTGGAACAGAACAGTGTCTTCAGTGATAGAAAATCTAGATTTATTGCTTATAACAGATTTGGCTTGGTTTTTTAAAGCGTATTTGGGTGTTTAATGTATTTAGTACAGTATATAAGAATAGATAGTGATAGTAGGTTCGAATCTACTAAATACAGTAATAGCAAATATATAAATATATGTAAATTTATTTGCCTTTTAATCAAAGTGATTTGATAGCTTTAATCTTTAATACAACGTATTTACTGTATATTTGATATATACTATTTTTAAAAAAGTTAAACCTATAAATTTTCTTAATACTATACAGTCAGCCAGCCCTCGCTATAATCACACTCTTGGGCCCAAAAAAATTAATTATAATAAGGTTGTATTTATAAATAAGTCAAATTTTTTATAGATATAAATAGGGGTCGTCTAAAGCCGTGTCCAATCACGTGATCACATGACCGGAATGTGCCTCCGGAAAACCGATCGGACAAAATTATATTATATCACGTGTGCACCCACCAATCAAATCATGATACTAAATCAACTTTTACATCATAACGATAATAACGATAATTAATCATTTTTTTAAATATTTATACTGGCCAATCTTTTCAATATGTATAAAACCAATAATGCTAAATAAAGTTTGTTTAAATTAAATGTGCTTTTGTGCTATAATCTGATTATTTTTCACTATACGACTATATGCAGCATACAGAAACTAAATTGTGCATATTTTTTTTTGTTAAATGTCCCCGCACAGAAGTTTATAAATGTCTAAATTATAATTTTAAAAAAAATCAATACTGGCTACATAATTCTCCACATAATTTGAACCATCTATTCGTTAAAAATTTGAAATAAAGTATAAAATCAGTTTAACAAATGCAATGAGCATGAATGACCCAACTTATTTTAATAAATTAAAATCAATAATTATCTTACTAGTCATGTATATTAATAAAATTAAAAAAAAAGGAGAGATTGCAAAATATAAACTTGAATAGCTTGTCTAGATAAAACGACTATTAAGTAGTCATTATATTTATTATAATCGTTATTGTTCAAAAGCTCTATAGTAGAATAATTGAGATCAACACAAAACAGCCCGGAAAGACGCTTTATATTTCAGCTTCAAACATTAACAATATCTATTTTTCTAGTACCTATTAACAGATTAATATAAAAATAGTAAGCATTATATATCTGAGTATTTAAATAAATCAATTAATAAATGGATACCACCAAGTTAAAATCAGGAGGTGAATATTTAAGTTTTACTGAAGAGAACTTAACTCTTAAAAATTATAATACTGCATATTAAATCACAAATACAATTAATTCATCATAATAAAAACTTGAATATTCACTTCCGAGTTTTTAATTTGGCATCAATCAAATTGTAGTTATCCTTACCTACTAAATTAATAGCACAAAGATTAAATAAATATAATAAACGCTGTAAGTTTAAAGAGCCTATTTTAAATAAATAACTAATTACACTTACCTATGAATAAATTTAAATTATTCGCCTTAACATTAATCTAAATAAATAAATTTAGCGAAAAATCTATGCTACAAAGATGAAATTCAAATGCTCAAGTTGTAAGACAATATAAGTAAATTATAAATTTCATACAGTTATCAATCATACATTTGTTCATGATATGTTAGATAAATTTGTATAATCCTACATTTAATTCTAAAAACAAACTATTTATTCAAAATCTTGCATCCTTATGATAAAATTTTCTATGACATAAGTATTTTCATACTCGCATTATGTAGAATAGGTTCTAAACAGGACTTTAAGTCCTTGATAAATGCACCTGTTTGCTCCTCATTACCTTTTTCTTCGATTCTCCAATAAACATCTCGAGTTCTTTCCATAAGTTCATTTACCGTCAACCGTCGATTTCCTGATGCACACCCGGCTTGGTCCTTTTCTGATGTGTGTACTTCAACCATTTCACCATGCACATAAATATCAAAACCGCACTCTTCAAACATCTCCTGGAATTTTCTCCAAGCGTTGGTTGTTAACAGTTTTGTAGCACCATACATGTGCTCATGAAAAATGTGGCGGCAGGGTAATAAATACCGAAGACGAAACCAACAATAACAGTCAAGGGATGTTAACCCTGGTGCAGCTTTACCATTTTCGACTCTTTTTTCCACAGCACGGGCTTCATCAGCAAGAAGTTGTTGGATAGGAAAAGGGAACTTATGCAGTTCGTTAAGAATTTCGGAATCTAAGCCAGCAACTGAAATTTTCTTAATACGGAATTCAAAGCCAACATACTCTGAATCCGAATGTTTTTTCTGATCAAGTGCAACTACTCTATTACATGCCCCTAGTAGTAAATGAAAGAATAAAGCTATCAAAAATGCATAATCATCAAATAGATAGAAAAAAAATAAAATTAAACCAAAAAAATCAAAATAAAATAAAATAAAATAAATACAGAAAATAAATAAAAAAGAATAAAAAGAATAAATAATAAATAAAGGTAACATCAGAATTCGATCTAGAAAAAAGCTAACTCGTTAACTAAATTAATAAATAAGAAAAAGATCCTTTTTTCATTTAATCACATTGCTTGAATATTATAATTTGTTAAAAGGAACCCATTTGATTACATTATCGTAAGTTGTAGCTTTAGGTTTAAGCCTTAATGCGATATAGATTCATCCATTTTTCTGAAGATCGCCAGGTTAAAATATT